TCTCAATTTTGACCCGCTCTTAGTCGACTATACTATCAGACTGAATCATAAGCTCAACATGGTAACAAATTTTAGACTATGACGTGAATATCGGGCATTATCTGCATGACAGTATTGCTCCTAATAGTCATCCAACCCATCATCAAGCCTGGTCACAAGGACACAAATAGCTAGATAGCGTATACAGTTGGGAATATTAGTTGACAGATGGAGCAAATATTATGAGTAAAGCTATTGGTCGTTGTCAGCTGATTAGATACCTCAATGCATGCATGATTCTTAGGCTGTCCATGATTTTTTTATATGAATTAATAGGTTTTACTTGGTAAATTGGCAACCACTACACAGTTATAACGCCTGAACATAACATGGAATATGCGGCTTTCAAGACAAAAACGGACTTTTCTTTTACAACTTTGTTGGGGGATAAGTGTAAATTGCAAAAACCTTAAGCTGTTGTTAACACGATGTTGGTAGTATTTAAAATTGTGTTTGATAACCATTGGCCTTTTTTGGCTCCTCCCTCGGACATTTAATCAATCACTGGGTACAACTATTTTGATTTCCTCTTGGGTTTGAAATTTGTCTTGACCGAAAGTGTACTTCATTTTTGATCGGTTTTAATGTCAATCATACTTCACTAAAGAATTCACCTTTTCTTAATGCAACTTGCTTTGCTCATCCAGCAGATAGGGGTTGAAAAACGGAAGAGTTATGGAGGTCATTTGGACTAACATGGATCTACTTTGTTACTATCATTCACGTGATGAGCATTGTTTTACCTCATACGAAGCCTGGCTATCAAAATTGAAACTCTACTAGACTATGCGTCGACTTCTCCAATACACAATCTTACCACAGGTCGAGGGTGCTTTGATATCTGCTTCTATACCAATCTTGATCAAGCATAGACAAGTGTGATTGTACCATTCTTTAGAACATAGTTGGAAAATTCTTGAAAACGTTCATCTGAGCTACCACTGCCATGCTTACACTTCACAATCTTATAGGATGATGAGCAAATTGTTGTTAAGAGTTCGCAATTTTATACAGCTTCCAGTTATTTTAAAGACTTCATCTGCTATTCTTAATTTGAACTCACTTGCTCCTATTTATCTTGTCAATTCATGCCACCTTCTTACTGGGCCTGTAATCTAAGGGACTTTTTGCTTCCAATTTTGTGTGTGCAGAAACCGTTACTTTTTACAATTCCTCTATCGCCTTTAACCAACACTCAGCATTTGGCTTATTAATGATGCTTAAATTGAATGGCCTTTGTAGTGACTTTAATATATTTCAGACAAAGTGAATATTTTCCAGGAAATTTTCCAAGCCCCTCTTTATGACCACCATGAGGTGCCCAAAAAGCACTTTATGATCACATTCGCGTTTTCAGACCATTTGCTTTCACTATAATGCCTATAATTCATTTGATATTGGAATTTGCGTTATTCCCATTTACTGATTATTTACTATTATTATTTCCATTAATTAAGCCTTATTACTCTTGACTTTTCATGATGTGAATATATTCTTTTTGCTATAAACTTAAGATTTAATCACTATCTTTAAGTGCTCTGTTGTCAGAAGGCAAGGGGGATTGTGATATATTTCACTCGATGCACCTCTTAATTTCCTTGTAAATTTATCAGATTTTTGTGGAGAAATTTTGTCTTTATAAAAGAATATCCCGAGCTATTCAGTGGCACAATATACCACCTTCCACAATAATTGATTATCATTTTCTTTTTAGATCATTTGTGGTAAACTTTTACCATTAATTTTATCTTCAAACAGAGCTCACTTATTCGTTTGAAATTTATTAATTGAGTTGTAAGTAGGCATTATACTACCTATCTAAGAGCCAATAATTTTGAATATTCTCCACTAAGTGTAATATTATCCCGTCTCTCAATCAACATGCTTATCTCCCAATGTATCCATCTTTAATAATTATATCTTTGTCATATCCTATCATAACACTAACTTTCGCTTCCGTTTATCTATATTTAAGCCGGTCTCCAGCCCCTTACACACTGGTAACTACGCGCCGCTTTCCACACAGTCTGTAGGTGCTGGCATTAATGGCCGCCCTGGCAACGAGCTAGACGGCGATTCGGCTGATTCGGGTCGCGGCGGCAGTGAAGACGATCCCAATGGAGGATTTGGACACCATTTACACTATCACCACCATCCCCATCATCAGCATCAATATCACAGTATTCAACAACAACAGCAACATAACCCTCACAGTGTTCAGGTTCAGTATCATGCTTATCAACCCTATTCATACTATTATGGTCAAGGTGCCGATGGCGGCCTTGTCTATGGTCAGATTAAGACGGCACTTGGACAAGGCTATCCACATGAAGACGGTACGGCCGGCCCTGGTGACCTCGGGAAAACTGATATGGACGTCGCATACCATAGCGAACGAATGCCAACTCTACTGTACACTCTACATGATCCTCAGCAACTCAACGCTATACCTTCATCTTCTTCTCCATGTGACGAAGAACTCCCTTTTGCCGGTGCGTCCTCTGTGAATTGTGCAACAAGCTCCGGGCAAGCCAATCGACTAACCTATGAGGAAGAGATTGACGACAAAGGCCGGGATGGGATAGCTGGGGATTACGGATCCAGTAATTTAGCCGAATCCGGTGTAGGTGCTCGTATGGACACCCTTTTCTATCGGCAACAGGCTCATCAGCTGACACCAGGAGGGCTTGAGGTTGGTACGACGGCAACCACCTCGGCATCAATTACCAACTTTCCTAATTTGCTTGTAGAACACTCTAGCAACAGCAGATCGGGTGGTATGCCACTTGGTATGCTGCCAAGACGACCTAAGTTCTGATTCATCTTTACCCTTCTCTACTTCTGTGCCTCCCTTATGATCTTTACCAGCCCTGACTCCTCCACCGACTGGCTGGCATCTGTACTGCTTTCATTTCTATACTTTGTTCTCCGTTCGCAGCTCTGCATCTTAGATGACAATTTATATTTTCATTTCATACTCCATAGTCCATCGTCTTCAGTATCACTTTTATTTCTCTTGATGGCATTTCACATGAAGAATGTTTCTCTATTTCGCAAATTCATTTTTCATTTATTTCCCATGTAAAGTGTTTTTTCTTACAACCTATGATAACTTCAGCGTTCAGTTTGCAAATGGTTAGGGATTTCTTCCCTCCTATGCGTATGAGTGTAATACATGCATAAAATATTAAATACACATATTTATTACGCATATGTCGAAAATCTAAATCTAAATATTACATATGTGTATCGGTTCGCACGATATCATGAACATATATGCGCACGCGTGAGCGTCTATATGCACATCTTTTATCACTAGCGAATGAACAGATACTCCGCCATTTGCACTTAGGCCTTAACATGAAAATCAGAACTAGCAAAGGTAGTAATTAACTTATCATTTCTCTTAACTGGCGCGAAGTCACTGGTATGAAATTGGCAATTCCAGGATTCAATTTCGATATGCTTTTTCTCCAGGCCTTATGTGCACCTCTATTGAATCAAAATCAGATCTGTCTTTTTTTTAAGACTCGTTTACCTTGAACTCATTTTCTTGTATTCTATCCCGTATTGCTGACATCCTTCTCTTCTTTTGACCGCCTTTCAGTCGATATTGTATTTAAGCTTTTCGAGCCTCTACATCTCTTACTCATTACACTGTCTTCTTTTTATTGGATGTTATGGGTCAGGCAAATAAAGGTGAAAGAACAAGAGGGAAGCGATCGCGACCAAAGCGACATTACCATTTAATTTACTATAGATATCATTTTTCTCCATAACTTATTGCAGACCGAACTCCGCCTTTTGACCTCCAGGCCTATAATGAAAAATTCTTTCTCAACGCCATTTCAATTATTTTTCTTGGTGCATCTCTAATCGCGTAACTTTTTTACACGTTACGTGGCTTCAGGCGGCATTGAAACGTTTCGGAACCTAAATTTGTCTATCTTGTGCTTCTGATCTTTCCTCCGTCAAATTCCATTGTATGCACTTCTTCTTTTCTTCCTTGCACCATTTGGTCCAATATCTCTGTTAGTCCACGCGTCAACGTATCTGACCACTTTTGCCTTAGCACTTGCAGACGATACCAGTTTATGTTTCTCTAACTTTATATTTTCTTCACCTGCTCCTGATATTCGCTCCCTTCTATCTTCATCTCAATGCATTATAAATATATTTTTGAATTATTCATATTTTATGACTAGTCAAGGGCCATTTCCTACGTCGCCCACATAATTCGCTTTGCTTGGACATGCTCATTCCTTCAACAAGCGCTCATTCAACCAGCCTACCGTAGCAAAATCGGTCGGTCAGTTGGACTCAATCAGCTGTGCATTGCACACTAACAAACCTGAATGCATACAACCCCGAGCGATTGATTGGCCAATCATTCATCAGTTCGGTAAATCTTTCTCTCTTCGTACATATTTACTTCTCATTCTCTTTCGTCACGTCCCGCCTCCAATTTTTATCGGTCAACATGGCTGATCACTCATACCTGTCTTTCCTACGTCCTTTTTTAACACATTCGTATCTAAATCACCAGCTTCCATAATTTGGTGATTTTTTTACTGATGACAAATTTTATTGTATATTCTTCTGTCATTTTGTGCTTTTCCGGCTTTTCGCTTATATATATATATATATATATATATAT